TCTCCAACTTTGTGCATAATTAAAGTGCCCATATCACTTGTAGGATATTTACATAGTTATAGTAATTGGAACATTCTAAGAAGATTTGTAATATATCTTCTCAGGCGAAAATGTCATCTTCATCGACTTTTTTGCAGTTAAATTTACCGGATATGACATCAAAGGAGGTAATGCAAATCAGTTTTCTTTTGTTTCTTGCTTCACAAATTCCTCCTTTGACATCATATCCGGCAACTTTAACTGCAAAAAAGTCCATGAAGATGAAATTTTCGCCTGACAAGATATATTACAAATCTTCTTAGAATGTTCCAATTACTATAAATGTGTAAAGATCCCACAAGTGATATAGGCACTTTAAAGCAGTACACAACAAAAGAAAAAGCAATCAATCGCTATGTAACTGTTACCGTGGTTGAAAACGCTTATTTATTCGTGAACCTTTCGAAAGAGAGAGGTTCAACCATGTGCAGGAACAGTAATCATAACAAACCCGTGAAAAAGCTTGGCATAACATAGGTACCCCAAGATGTAAAGTAAATAAGATCTCGGATGCCTTAACATGGCTCCCCAAAGTGTGAAACATTTTAACATCAACGTTCAATGTTAACTACGTGTCCGTACGAGTTCGAAAATTTATTTAGATCTCGAGGCTCCTTGTCGGGGATTCCCGGTCTTTCTTCAGCTTCCAAGAGCAACACAAGCTTGTCTATCGGTCGGTCCAACGTTGATCCTGTAGGCATTCTTAAACTTACTGCTCTAACCAAACCTTGTTCATCAGTTTGGGTATCCAGAACTTTAGCCAAAGACCACTTATTTCTGGGAAGATCGTTATCTTTCAACAGCACCACGTCACCTTCTTTAAAGTTTCGTTTCTCTTTGGTCCATTTCTGTCTTGGCTGCAGATTCTGCAAGAACTCGTTCCTCCATCGTTTCCAGAATTCGTTCGTTAAGTGCTGGACTTGTGAGGTGAGATTAAATCCTCCCTTTCTGCACATTCCTTTCACATTTCTCACTCGCGTCTTCTTCCGTTGCAACCGATTTTAATCCGTCATCGACGTAGAAATTTCTTCGAAGAGTATATGCTGCTTCAGTACCAAACTCGCTTTCATAGCCATCTGCAGTGCGTTTCACCGCGTAGTTGGAACATCCGGGCGAAGAACCAGCTCCGAAGAGGTGAACCGTCATGCAATACTCTTGCGGTTTGGTTGTAAGTTCGCCGTTGGGCCACCACAAAAAGCGGAGGATATCCTGGTCTTCCTCTTTGACCTTTACTTGGTAAAACATCTGCTCGATATCCGCCATGAATGCGATCTTCTCTTGTCTGAATCTCGTAAGAACCCCGACCAGCTTGTTCGTGAGGTCAGGTCCTTGCAGCAGGTGGTCATTTACAGATTCGCCAAGATATCGGGCCGAACAGTCAAAAACGACCCTGATCTTGTTTGGTTTCTGCGGGTGATAAACACCATGATGAGGTATGTACCATACTCTTCCTTCTTTGGTGGTCAATTCTTCCTGTCCAGTCTTTCGAGCGTAGCCTTGGTCACCGTTCATAAATATCACATAATCATTTCGGTACTTGTCGTCGTTTTGAAGCCGTTTCTTCAAGCCACTGAGACGCTGTTCGGCTGCTGGTCGGTTGTTTGGAAGTTGGAAATTCTCGTTCTTGAAGGGCAACGGCATTTCGTAATGCGCATCTTCACCATGGCAAATCCCATCCTCGGCTTTCTCAAGAAATTTGCGATCCTCTTGGGACAGACCCATTCCACGTTCGCTTTCCGAAAACTCGATCTCGAACATTTCTTTGATCGTGTTGGGTGTAATTATCTCTTTAACCTTTCTCTCTATGGTGACATATCCCTTGGCATTACCATTGGAACTGCTTGTCATCATCTGGACTCTGTTACATAACACTGCGTCACTGGAAACAGCACCTCGAAAATTTTCTGTTGTTCAGTTCTTTTCAGCATCCAAAAATGCCTTAGATGCAAAAGAAACCACTTTTTCTTCCTCATTTTCATCCTTTTGGGTCAGCACTGCGCCTATGCCCACATCACTCGCATCCATATACAATATATAGTCTCCATTTAAGTCAGGAAATGCCAAAACAGGGGCAGATATAAGTTGTTCTTTCAGTTGTTCGAACGCTCATTGACAGTTCTTGTCCCAATCAAAGCGGACACCTTTTTGCATCAGACGGTGAAGAGGACCTGCAATGTCACTGAAACCAGAAATAAAACGCCTGTAGTAAGAGGCCATACCCAGGAGACGTCGCAACTCAGTGAGATTCTGTGGGGTAGGAAAAGCACGGATTGCTTCAACTTTGGTCACATTTGGGGCCAGACCAGCAGCAGAAATGGTAAAACCCAAGAAATCCACACTTGGCTTCGCAAAACTACACTTGGACAACTTAAGTCTCAATCCAGCTCTGTCTATAGCCTGCAAGACATCGTCCAAATTCTCCAAATGTTGGTCAAACGTGCGACCCACGACCAAAACATCATCTAAGTAAACCAGACACTTGAGTGGCGAAAGACCATTCAACACAGCAAGCATAAGTCGCTGGAATGTGGGCACAGCATTTGTTAGGCCAAAGGGCATACACAGGAATTCAAAGTGACCACCCCCCTGGAATCACGAAAGCTGTTTTCTCCCGACTAGATTCGTCAACTGGAACCTGCCAATATCCCGAGGCTAGGTCGAGTGTCGAAAAATACTGATGACCAGCTAAGTTATCCATCAAATCAGCAACCTGGGGAAGTGGGAAAGCATCTTTCACTGTGACATCACTTAGTTTCCTGAAATCAATACAAAAACGCCATGTCCCATCTTTCTTTCGAACTAAGACTATAGGACTTGACCATGGTGAATTACTCGGCTTAATTATGTTGTTTTCCAACATTTCTTCTACTTGGTCTTCAACAACGGTTCTCAGAGAATTGGGCAGTCTTCGAGGCAGCTGTTTAACAGGTACGGCATCGCCTGTCTCAATCTTATGCTCTGCTAGTGTGGTTACGCCAAGTTCACTAGAATTTTTCGTGAAAACATCTTGGTGTTTATTCAACAAATTTTTCATCCTCTCTCGCTCCTCACCCGACAGATGCTCTAACTCAAATTTGATCTTATCAGCAGATGGTGTACCACACTTTGAATTAATAAATGTTGGGTCTCTTAACTCATCATCAACTTGCTGAAGTTGCCCTACAGTCATGCCCTTGTACAACTTAATAGGTGATGTCCCTGGATTAATAATCTGGATGGGTACCCTCTGTTCTTTTGGCTGTACAATAACTCTTGCTACAAGAACACCTTTCCCGGATAAGTTCATATTAGGCTCTAAGATGCTTTCATTTAAAGTGGGATTTCGGACCCTGGCAGTTTTGAAAACTTCATGTTTCGCCGGAACAACCAAATCCTCATCTAGAACAATGCCCAGGGGACCTGCTATGGTTGAATCAAATAAACACAAGGGTTTTGTGGTACCATCTGGGAATTTCAAAACCATTTCAGCCATATCAACATTTACTTTGTTAGTTACTAACCAATCTAAACCCAGAATAATTTCAGACACCATTTCATTAGCCACATAAAAGTCATGAGATGACTTGTTGTTTTCATCAAATTGCACATTCAAGGTGGTTTTGCCCAAAATCCCAATGGGAGAATTGTTAGCGGCTTCTGCAACAATATCGGATGGAAATAATGGGGTATCATCCAGTTTAAGAGGTTGCCACTGGTCTTTACTAACTAATGAAATAGATGCGCCAGTGTCAACTATACAAAGTTTGTTTTTCCCATTAATAGTAGTCTCGACCATAAGGGTTTTCTTCTTACTCGCTGAAGAAACGGTAGACAGTCTGATTTTTGAATAATTTTTCTTGGGGCTTTCACCATCTCTACTAGAACCCAGACCTCCCTCCAACTTGGCATTACAGAAATTTGCAATATGGCCACTATTCCCACAACGATAGCAAATGGTCACGTGTCTATCCATTTGCCAATTCTTATCATAACCTGGGAGCTTAGTATTAACTGGTTGTTGAAGGGGCAGGATTTTGCCAAATGTCCTGGCTTTTGACATGAATAACATAACTTAGTTTGTGGCCATGCAGTATTATTTTGCCCGAAGTTGTTCATAGTAGGGCACTGTCTGGACACATGACCAAATCCATTACACGAATAACATGTTTTAGCAGCATTCAAAGAACTAACTGAGCCAATTGTTGTTCTACTTAATTTTTATGTCGCTTCTCTGGCTAATGTTTTCATTGTGGCATTTGCTGCCTCAAATCTTCGAGCAATTAACAAGGCATCATCTAAACTGTTTGGTGGCTCTTGTAACAACTTGTTTTGGGTGGCCTTATCTCTCAACCCCAAAATAAATTGATCAACCAACCTGCTAGAATATTCGTCACCATGGAAACCACATCTAGCTCCAGCTTCTCGCTAAGAAACAGCATACGAATCAACAGACTCACCAGGCTCCTGATCTCGACGATGAAAATTGTAACGTTTCTCCGTAGCAGTCTGATTCCTTTCAAATAACGACTTCAACTTTCCAATCCAATCATTGTATGCGTTTTCCCGTTCGCCAAACTCAACCGGTTCTGCCAAACGAAACGCATCTTCGCTCAAATTAAACAACAGCGCAAATCGTCGCTTTTTAACATCTTCAAGTTCCACTGCTTCGAAGTACAAATTACATTTCTTGATGAACAAATCAAAGTTTTCGCCAATTTTAAACTTGTCGGGCCTTCGAAAAACAATGACAAAGATAACTTATTCGTTTCAACATTCGCTGCTCAGGCTCGACCGCCATGGCTCGACCGCTCAGGCTCGACCATCGTGCAAACACGATACAAAACACACTCGAAAAACAAGTCAAAATGTCACATTATTTCCACAAGTTTGGTCTCGGTGGGACCTCCAAAATTGTCACGAAGCACTACTGGACTAAGATAATACCAAAACTCTTTAATTATTTCTTTAATTACAATACTCAACAACGATTAATTTCCACGAAATACACTCTACAAAATCTCACTTCCATGCGGTTCTCTCTCCTCTAAAAACACGTACACTAAAAGGCGCTTAAACACATACACTAAAAGGCGCTTCTCTACACATGCAAAGGTTTTGATAACACAAACTGCATGAGTAATGTTAAAAGACTGCATCAAGGATATTGGTTGGTTGATAATTATTAATGTCGAATTTGCTTCCGGTCAATGTTCGTGTTGTCAAAAACATCGCTTGTTTAAGCTCGCTAATGTCGATTTTTAAGAACGGAAACATGCATAATATTACAATGTCAATTTTATAGTTGTTTCTTAACCATTATATTGAATAAATTAACAATCATAATGTTTGTTTTAGCTAGTTAAAAGTGAAAGTTTTCAAGTACATATTCTTACATTGAATGTGTTTATGTTCAGTGGTGTATACTTATTGTGTTACAGTCTATGAACACGGCAATAATTGCATAGCATGACCAAATCGTTGGGCTGGCTACGCCACTAGATAGATAGATAGTTTAATAGATTTTACATGGCGGCCGAATTGGCTGAATTGCATAAAATTAACAAAACTTACATATTACAAACAAATAGACCTTTCCAAGGTTAACGACGCCATAATGAAACAATAGTGCAAGGGGTGCAAATACAGTGGAATTCCCTATAAGTAAATTTGCAAGGGGGTGCAAACACAATGGTGAAAACAAAATGGTGTCCTTAACTCATTCTCATCCGGTCGAAAAGTACCAATTTCGAGTGGTGTTGTTTCAAACGCTTATATCTCTCAAATTATACATCGCACGGAAACAGAAATTGCATCGTTCGAAAGAGGAGGACTTCCGCTTTCCAACAATACCAATTTCAATTTCAACCGGAGCTTGGTTAACGATTTACTCGCATAAATTTGCATAAATTATGATATAAAAAAATGTTGCAATTATGCATAAATGTATTTAGCGGTTCAAATTTCAAATATGTCAAAAAATTTTATGAGTATGACTGAAAGACACGGTTATGATCTACAAGTACCCGAAGTTTCATGCATGTAGCATAAATAGAAATATTTTTATTGAATTTTTATATAAACTAGGTAGTGGAGTAAAATTTACATTTTGTGCTCACATGAAACAAATACCTTTATCAAAGGTCCTTTTTTATTGCTGCAACATGTTATCAATACAAATTTCCAATATTTCTTACTCTCCAAAGATAGTATGGCACCAAAATAAGTCTGTGATACCCACAAAAGAACACTCAAATCATGATTAGCAAAATGTCTTTATTTCTACAATTACTACATACATTCTTAGATAATCATTACACCATTGACTTTAGTTATTAGTGGCATAACCAGCCTCAAAATTTGGTCATGCTATTCAAATTTGAAATAATCACTACTCATTTGTTTAGAAATTGATTGTTTTCACAATCTAGAACATGAAAATATTTGCAAATAGCATGACCAAGTGTTGTTGGGCTGGCATCATCATAATTAGTAGTTATAAAAAAGTAATGTTTTCCAAGGCAGTAATGTTTGCTAAAGCAGTAATGTTTGCCAAAGCACATAATTGGATTATGTGGTGAAAATATTTCCTTTATATTGTACTACAAAAGACCTAAGACTGTAACCAAACTGATATCAGATCACCACGTCATACCCAAATCTGTTGCGATGAATATCTGGACTTCTTCCTGTATAAATTTCAAAGTCGCAATATAACCATTAGGATTGTCTGCAGCAACCCACAGATTTATTCCCCACATAGTAGGTCATCTAGCTTTCATGAACTGCCTAACCCCCAACCTATTTCTTGATTTGACAGTGTGTTTGTCTGCAACAACAATATTCTGTGACGGCTGGTACAGTTGTTGATGCAGTTTATTGCTGTAGTCTTTAGTACAGGATCTACCATATTCACAAACGCCATAAGCGCTTTGTACCTAACCCGAGAAATTATGTCTATTGCCCACAGACCATGATATAAGGTTTTTACACTCCAATAATTTTCAATCTCACTGTCGACCTTTAGCAAACCTGCATATTATACTAAAAGGCAATCAACCTCTCAAGGTTGGTGGACTGCAAGACCCTTTTTTATTAGTATATGGGGATAACTTTTGAGTTATTTGTATGTGGGCATATGTATTGGTATATGCATGGCCAGGAAACTACCTCCTGAAGCATTCCCTTAGTAAAAAAGAGTCAAATGAACTCAAGCTCACAGTTCATTGAGCCGAATGAACTCAAGCTCACAGTTGATCGAAATGGATCCCGGACATGTCAGTGAGGAGCAAAATCTGGGAGAACATTCCTGGCGTCAGGATCATCATATCCGTCATGTACTATGGGGCCTAGTGGGGATGCTAGACAGGGAGCTTTCGAAACCTTAGGTCCTAATGGCTGGGCTTCCCTCTACCTCTACTCATCCCCCTACCTTCCCTCTGGGTTGGTGAGTGGGGTTCTCATGACTCATCAGAACTCTACTTCCCTGAGGCTATGAAACAGGAACAGCAGATAGGAACAGGATCAATATATTCATCAGTGCGAATAAAAACTTTTATAGACATGGTGCCATATAAAATTATAAAAAGAGCCAACTAGTAAGATATAAGTATGAATACTTGGCTATTATGTATGTAACAAACAACCAAACATGTGCTCAAGGCTCATTTTACTTCGCCTAGGAATCAGAGATTTTTATGCCTAAAACACCATAAATTTTCGTCAACAATATAAATAAATACCATTTATATTTGTCAATTTCAGTATGAAACGATTATTTCAACACAAAAAAGCGATATGAGGACATACTTGGTCGTACTAGTGAAGCTATACTAAATACAAATAAATTTACAACGCCATGGCAACGGCAAAACATTGAAATTGTCTAGAAATGATACAAATACTTGCCTTGAAACTCCAGACACGACTCCCAATGCCAGGTTGAGATACTTGTCTTCATACGAAGACATTCCATCATTACTAGCACTATCAGTTTGCAAAATAAAGCCAAAAACGTCTTCAGAATGCGATTCAAACAAAACTACAACACAATACATTTCAACGCTCGTGCGTTCCCGTGCGCGATAATCAGGAAAATTGCTCTAAAAGATTTGTTTTTCTGCCTAAGCCAATCAAAATCCGTATCTAGGGTAAACAAACACTCCGGAAGTGATTCCTGCAGTCTTTTACCAGGAAACTGTAATGCTTTACCAAGAATTTGGCGTCCGAAGTTGGCCGAACACTTTCCGATCACGAGAATTGCCATAATAGGCTTAGATTATTTCGCAATTTCCCGAGACTGCTCCGAGCTATAGAATGGAAGATGGCGATTCTTTTGGTATATTTGTTATTATTATACGTGCAAAAGAAGCAAAAAGACGAGCATTTGAATCAGGCGGAACATTCAAAATGCAACTGCAAAATTGATAATGTGTCATTTGCATAAATTTCACCGCATTGATCATTTCAAGGTAAGAAATTCGCTTGAAATTGAGCGAGAAACAATAAAATTATATGAATATTTCTGAATATATAGTATCGATCAAGCGGAATTTTTTGGTGGTATTTTCGTATGTCTACTGCAAATACTCGCGAAGTTCTTTAATATTTAATCTTCCCGTCATATACGTCGGAAATTAATATTGGCGGATCGAATTGAGTTAACCTCGGAAAGGTCTATTAAAAACAACACATGCACAATTACATATTACTGTCAAATAACTTGTGTAATAAAGAGCAGAAAATCCATCAGATAACGATTTAGCAAGAGTTTCAGTCATTATGTTGGTATTGAATACTGGTATATGCAATCAAATCTCTTTGTCCAGATGTTTGGGTGACGTTGTTTGACTGATGGAGTTTTCACACAGTGCAATTTGGGTTGAACTTTTGTCAACATCATGGTCATTGACAGTCAGGGACAGGAGTACAACTATATACTAGTACAAATTTAATAGTAATCACAGGGCTGTGGGTTGAATTCCTACCAGAGGACCTTGTGCTGCATTTTTCGCAGTCGTTCCTGGTTAGGTCTTAAAATGTATATATTCTCACTTGGATTACAAACCCTAACATCCTAATATTAATTCCACCAAGTGACATGCAATTATCTAAGTTATTCAAGTCCACCTTATCGCAACCCACACACCCTACTACCTATATATACATGAACTTATGGTTACAACTCAACAGCTGGCCTCTGTAGCTCAGTTGGTTAGAACACTGCACCGGAATCACAGGGCCGTGGGTTAAATTACTACCAGAGGACCTTGTGCTGCATTTTTCGCAGTCGTTCCTGGTTAGGTCTTAAAATGTATATATTCTCACTTGGATTACAAACCCTAACATCCTAATAAGTACAACTATATGTTAAGGGACTCAACTCCACTGTCGATGCACTGAACTGAAGGCAAACCTGGCCAAATGCTTGAACATACATCGAAGAAGGTGGCCACTACACATCCGCCTCCACTTCATCTTCCACCATTGAGGGCAGCTTTGTACTTTGCTCGAATGGCTTTAAAGGGGAACTTCAGTCCCAAACCAAGTTGGGTTTAAATAAAAGATCTTAGGTTTATGAGGGAGTTCCCAAATTTTCTTGGTCCAAATATTTAAGGATAACGAGAAATTGCTTGCCAAAGTTCACATTTTTTCAAATTTGGCCGCCATTTTGGTATTTTCCATGCAGACGCGTATTTGTCAGCGCCCTCACTTTTTGACGCCATTGCGTGCTTCTGAGGTGTTTTTGATAGTGCAAGCTATAGTTTTGTATGGCGATATTAATATGAATGTTGACTATTTTTCTTTTTCAAACCATTCATATTTGTCAAAACAAATTTAATAGAGCTATTCACCATCATCCAAGTCAGGATATTTTATTTTTAACATTACTGAGTCTGCCATAGCATGACAGCGTCAGCACGTATTTCAAACATTGGGGATCTGCAGGTGATTCTCCTAATACATTTGACTAGCATATCGTTTTAATTTGCTGTTTATAAACTTTGATTTACTGGCTTTCCAGACGTGGCCTTCAAAGTACATTATACAGTATGGAGACGAGAAAGTATTAAGTGTACGAAAGCATACAACATAGGATTTGAACATGAATGTAATGTTCTCAATGCGCTAATCTAGATTATTATATCCGTGGGGATAGTAGACTATAAACTCCCCACTATATCATCATGACTGGTGATATTTGTAAAATGTGCCCTGAACATGCATGCGTATAATATTTTGTTTGTGTTTAATCGTATCTCCCTTTAGTTCTACTGGCATTGAGTTCAACCACCATTAGCATATTAAATATAGAACATCTGATGGCCAGGACTGGAAGGACATTGGGTGTGTTTTGACAAACACGGTGGTGGGCTTAGGTGCTCTGGCTACCCTCGCGACAATCATTCTGCTGTACACCTGGCACAGTTGTTGGATGGCTGTGTCAAATTCGGCCATCATAACCGATCCGATTGACCAGGGTGAGGCAGATTGTTTAAATGCTCTGTAGGTTAGAACAGGACCGGGGAAAGAAAGGATTGCAGACTTAACCTCGTACTGAGTAGGTTGCCGTATTACTTTGTTGCACGCATCTTGGGTTATGGACTGTATGATAAAAAATACAGATTGTAGTTACATATTAGAACAGAGACATTACATATATGTAAGGTGAGGCTAAAACAAGCTGCTTTTGTTAGTTTACAGATTTGTTGAGAAAGTGATTTGGGTCATAGATTTCAACACCTGAAAAAGGTCCCAAATACATGTGGCAAAAAAATTATAATTTGTGTCAGCTGCATGCAAACAAGTGTAATAATTTATAACGGTACATGTAATTTATTGTGGTAATAAAATTCATGCAGAATGATCTTAGTAATATAGTAAGACTGCCTCGTTTTGTTCCCTGAGATGACTGACGAATGTGTTGGCTTTGGCAAGGGTATCTTTGCGAATTATGGTGGGAAAGTCGGAAACGTCTTGGCCTTGCAACAACATATCAGTAGCATTGGTCAATACATGAAGAGCAATTTGCGGTAAGTGGTCCGATTCCTTAGATTTTGGTGGCATGTGGCCATCAAGGACGGCTATATTGACTTCAGCTGTAAACATGCATCATTCATTTCCCTCAAAAATGATTGCACATCAACGTCGAACATGTATGTTGTGCTAGGGTTTTCTTTGTGAAAATCTGGAATTTCCTGAAAAATGTCCTCAAAATTATCGATGGCTTCCATTTCAATGTAATGTTTAGCATTGGCATGCTGTTGTGGAGTTGGACAAAGAACCAAGGAAACCGAAATTAGTCTATGAGTCTGTGTCTTTGATCCATTTGTGCAATTAATTCCGCAATGTTTTGAATTTGGGTGCAACCAAGGATTGAGAATGGTGTATTGGCTGGTATTTCTCTAATTTTTTGGTGCTGTAGTGATAGGTAGCTCGTTCACCAGAAAACAGCTTACAGAGTAACTATGTCACCGCTAGCCGTTTCATCTTTGGATTTAGGACATCGTAAATTTCAGACGAAATCACATATACTTTTCCACACTCGGCTATCAGCTTAACCAGAGAAGAAGACGTTGCTCTACCAAATATCAAGTTATCAGGATTTGCAATGGCCAAAACGGGGGTTGTTAATCCATGGTCCAACGAGGCAGATTTATCAGTACCAGGATAGCCAACGAACAAAGTGAAGAGGTTGGGTAGCTGTTGATAGTTGAAGGTAGTACACACACTAAATATTTTAACACTCGCACTAAACATTTGAACACTCGCACTAAACATTTGAACACTCACAATAAAAATTCGAACATTCGCAAGAATTTCAAATTGGCATTCCACAAATTCCACAATGCACATACACAATATTCAAAGTGTCACACACAAAATATTCGAAAAATTAATTAAATAACTCGTTTGATTTATGCATGATTCATTAATTTATGCTGCTGTTAATATACTTTAGACAGGGGGGTTGCTGGTAGGTAATGCAGTCATCCATTTTCCCGCTATTTTATTGTTCATTTGGATGCATTTGGCCAGTTCATCGAAGCATGGCGGGGGAACAAGGAAATCGTACCAGTTGTTCTGAAGATGAAATACAGTCGATGGTTCGTGGTATTTTTGGGCAACTGTTTGAAGGAAGGCAATTGACTCAATCAATGCAGCATGGAACAATTAGCAGTGGAATAAATCAGGCATTTCATTTACCGAGAAATATAAACACGTCTAACACGAGTACGACAATTGCAGTTGAGGGAGAACCTGGCCCTGGACCATCGCAGCCTGTCAGTTTACCTCAGCAATCGTTGACTTTGTCTGTGCCGTCCATTCAATTCTCAACTACGGTAATGTTAATATGGGTCGTGGATCTGGCCCAATTCGACCGTGCCGAAGTGGAACTTGGCGTCGCTCAAACATGCAAGGTAATGGTTGTTCCTCTCAACCATCCTCTTCAGATAGAAACGAGTTATTCCTGAAGGATGTCTACTTACTCCCAAGGCCAACATACGACAGGGTGCCGGGATGCGAAGCAAAAGCAAAGTTGCAAAAAGAGGGGTTCTGCGTTGACGTTTTTACATTTGATAAAAGGTGGGACGAACTGGCAATATTCCGTAAGATATTAAAGGACGTAACAAGGTGTTGAATATTTAAATCTGAAAAAGTTATGTATAACTTTATATAATATTAACAAAAATTTGCACCTATCATTTGTTATGTACGGTTTAATTCTTCCTGTTACTACCCCTCTCCCCAGGCAACCCCCCAGGTATTTGCAATTTTTTTTCAACAGAATCTAGATCACCTCTGGGCTAATATAAAAATATGTGAACTCCCCACACAACAGTTTTAAATTTGCATAACAATTAATAATTAAAAACACAATCAGACAAAGCCATGTTAAAAAATGCTTTACTCAAAATTGACCAGGCATTATTAGGTCAGCCAAGAACCCTATATTCCATGTGTTTCACCCCTTAACTGTTATCTTGAAGAAATGTACTGGATATTAGACGGTTGCAAGAAGATATGGATTTTATGTTCGAGTGGCAAAAACATCTCACAAGTGAGCGCAGCCAAGTTAGCAAATGTGTGAGATATTGCTTTTGACACAAGAACATCAATCCATATCTTCTCATAACTGTCTCATCTCCTCTATTTAATACACCAGCAATCTCGTACCCAGAGCAATGCCTGTGCGCGGGCTAGGATGGCATTGGCTCTGGGGAAATTGAATTTTTCCTGTGCTGTGATTGGTTTAACGTTTGTCAATCGTACATGCCGACAAAGAACCGCAACCCCTAAATTTAGGGGTTCCGGTTGTCAATTTCCCCAGAGCCAATGCCTTCCTAGCCCGCGCACAGGCATTGCTCTGGGTACGAGATTGATACACCAGGCAATCTTCACAACTTCTATCTTAAAAATATTGACCCATTAATTAAGCCACAGTGCTTCCAAATGTATACTGTATAATCAACAGTGCTGCACAGTCAACTGTTGCTATTCTAACCATTAGTCTGCAATGGGTTAGAATAATTAATACTAGACAATTTTACTCATCAAAGGAAGATTCTTGCATATTAATGGTTAACCAAAGAATCTGCCAATATGTTGGGTTAACCCATTAGGCTGCAATACACTCCCACATGCACTGGGCCTGAAAAAATACTTGTGGTTCCAGTTTCCCAACAGACTCTAATATTTTTTCTGCCAACCCTATTATTTTTTAACACGATTGACTGTGCAACCCTATTTTCTCCAGGTGGATGCGAGCTGCTCATACAGCGTGCCAAATGGCATCTGTTGATCGCTCAGTGGGTTTCACAATATTAAATTATTGAACCAAAATAATAAATTGTCTAAATTCGTTCATAGGAAATACGCATCTCTAGTTAATATTGCAGGACTGAACTGAAAATCGCTTAAAATGGATTACTGAATGTTGTTAAGTTTCACCATTCTTTTCAGTTTTGAGTTTGTCAAGTCATCAGGGACATCAGTCATTCCAGTCAATTTGCCATCGGGACAGAGGATGACAGGCAAAGTCCTAAAGCATGTTGCCGGTAATGGACCTGTCTACACACGGTCCTGCACCGATGTTGAGTTTCAGGTGATATTGTACTGTATAGTGATTCTAGTCATTCTACATACATATTTATGTTTATCATTCAATTTTTGCAGTTTTTACTGTCTTGGCCATTTCCCCAGGGTAGCTTTGGTAGAGGCTTGAGTGTACTTATATTTTGTTTGCATAGTTTGGGGGCCCAAATTTTACAAAAATGGTTATCATTTCACAAAAGTAACGACTTTTTACGCAAATTTTACCTGAAAATCTCAAAATTTTAACTTGGAGTTTTCCTGATTTTTACCTGAGTTTCACAGTTGGGGGATTTTACACACACACCCTTACCCCCACCCCCCTAGTTGCCATGTCCCTGGATTCATGCATGCAATGAAGTTGCCTACACTGAGCATAAGTAATTAGTGCATGCTAAAACTAAATGCGTTGTTATGTGCTACTGTCTGCTATATATTATAGGAGTGTATGCTGATCAAATCGGTTTGTCTAACACCGTCATTTTTTATTCTCAGATGAGTGAAGAAGGTTCTGTTTCCAGTGAAGAAGAAACATTACCAGCAATTTCAGGTGTATCCACTCCATCTTCTGTTGTAACAAGCAATACATTTCAACCATGATGATGATTTCCATCATGTGTTAAAATCTGTGTGCCAGGATGGTGAAAGGTGTAAAGTGCTAAAGGCAAAATAAAAGTCAAGATCGATTGCCAAAGAAGACATAATCTTACCGTGATTGTAATGTCGAATAATATGCTACGACTACGACTAGGAGAGACTAAATCAGAAGAAAAAATTGCAGATCTTCAATTGAAAGTAAAAAGCTTGACACAGGAGCGGGATATGGTACGAAATGACCGATCTCAAAACATTTCATGTTTGCGTAAATTTCCAATATTCATTCACAAAGTAAATAAACTGTTCGCTTGATTTATGTATACGCATTACACATGGATGAGCATAGACTTAGCGAAGCTGAAACTCAACCTCGAGAAAATACACGGTCTGCTGTCCGCGAGAGAAGACCGAATTCAACAATTGACCAACAAGAAGTACTCCAAGAGAAATTGAATACGCTTGAACATTCTCGTCGGGGCTACCTTGGATCGCTTACCCGAATTTACAATCAAATCGATGTGTTGTTAAGCAGTTATGATAATGTAGTTCAAGTAAAAGAATTCCATTCAAAGTTACGGTTGGCTTGGCATCAATATGAAGCGTGTTGTGTCCATTATTTAACGTTAATTGACAAGAAAGGCGAGTTATATAAACGCGTCAGTGCGCAGTATGAGGAACAAACGTTCAGAAAACAAACTTACGATGTTACTGTAGATCAATACGTGACTGATTCTCTTGTTCATTTTAATGCTCAAGTTATGGAAGATGTAGCTCGACAAAAAACAACCTCTGTCGGATCTGACATTTCGAAAATTAGTAGCGCAACGTCCAAACTTCGCGAAGCAAAGCTGGCAGCGACGAAAGCATCATTGATCAAAAGACAAACTGAAAGTAGAAAGAAAAGAGCTCTTCAACTTGAATTGGCGAAAATGGACATGGAGATTAAACGTAAGGAATTTGAATATAATCAACATCTTGAGCTTGCACATATTGAGACGGAAAACGAAGTCGTAACCGCACGAGATAACACAGAACTGGCATAACTTGAAGCTCGAATAGCAGAACAAGAAGTTTCCGAGTTAGCGAAGCACAAAGAGAAAGACAAGGAGAGCAACCGCACATGTTCTTCCCCATTAATATCCTCATCTTCGAATTCATACCAGGAACGCAATTCAGCCCATCCAGCTACAGCTGATCATATCCCTCCCACTGGACAATCAAACGTACCAAAGGAAACATCGCCATTAAGAGACAACCCAAACGCTAATCGTGCGACAAGTATCCTTCTCCTTCGTGGAGGTATCAAACAAACACACCAATTTCCCACAGATGCCCCTGCTTATCCTGAACCATTGTGTTACCTCCCACCAGCTACAAAATCCCAGCGTCAGTCAGCAAGTCCAACTCATGCAAAAAATACAAGTGATGTGAACAGAAGACTTTGGAATCAAGAAGATGTTACTGTTCCTCAACCTACTGGTTCCACCCCATTCGTTCAAAATTCACTCCTCAGTTCTCTGGTAACAACAATCGAAAAGATTTTCCTACAATTCAAATAATGAAATTTGATGGTTCTCCACAGAGCTTCCCAGTATTTCGGCAAAGATTTGAGCAGTTGGTCCAGTCGAAGCTGCTTGACAAATCGACGAAAATGTCATGTTTGTTACAACTTCTCGATGGTGCGCCGTTAAACGCTGTAAAGAGATACAAGACGATTCCTGGTGGTTTGACGCGGGTGATGAAACTGCTCGAGGATCGATTTGGTAGACCATGTCAAATAGTACGCGCATGTGTAGACTCTCTGACCAAAGGACCAATGATCGCACCTAACGACAAGCAAGGTTTGCAGAAATACGCTGATGACGTGCAAGTGATGTATGATACTCTAAATTCAATTAATTGTCTCGGTGAGATGAATGCTGATAACCTCGAAGATGATCCTCAGATTACCAAGGTGGGCGCAAGGCAAATTTGCGGAATATTTGAAGGAAATCGAGTGAGGCAGTTCAACGATGCCGACATTTCATAACATAGTTGACTTCCTGAAAGATCGTGCAGATGTTGCAAATCACCCTTTCTTCAGTAAAACATCCGAAAGTAATCGAGATGAGAAAGTTTTCGGAGGTGGTCAAAGACGCAGTAGTGAAAGACGAACTATCCTTACAACTCGAAGTAATAATCGTGATGATGTTTCAAAGGAACAATTGTGTCCAATGTGCAACAATCTTCACCTGTTGTATCGTTGCAAAGTTTTCAAGTCGAAGTCTCCAGAAAAGCGAGGCGAGTTTGTTAAGCGCAACAGAATCTGCTTCAATTGTATCAACTCAAAGGAACATATCTCACGAACATGCAACTCTTCCATCCGTTGCAGAAGTCCTGGATGCGGTAAACCTCACCATACACTATTACACATGAGTTCCCCTCCTAAAGAGAAGAAGACGAAATCCGATGTTGGAACAATGACATTATCTATTGATGAGTTTAAATCAACCAATAATTTAACTTCCAAACAAAGAAATGAAGTCTTGCTTCAAGTAATTCCTTTACGAATCATCAACGAAGATGGCAACCAAGTGTGTTAAAAAACCTGTGTGCCGGGATGGTGAAAGGTGTAAAGTACTAAAGGCAAAATAAAAGTCAAGATTGATATCGAACCCTGTTTCGTACATCGTAAAATTCCAATGTGCGGGAATGTGGCTTGCTTTGCTTTGGTTTACTTGATTACTTGATACTTTGCTGAATACTTCGCTTATTGCTTTGCTTACTTTGAATACTTTGATGTACGAAACAGGGTTCGAACGCTTTATATCAATCTTTGCCTTTAGTACTTTACAGTTTCACCATCCCGGCACACGGGTTTTAACACAATTAGATTATAGAATAAATAGACTTACCAATGTGCGGGAATGTGGCTTGCTTTGCATTGGTTTACTTGATTACTTGATACTTTTGCTTAATACTTCGAATACTTTGTTGAATACTTCGCTTAATGCTTTGCTTACTTTGAATACTTTACATGAGTCAGGGTGTTGGCCTTATATGCCTGTTTAAATATTCGATGTTTGTCATGCATAACTAATGTATAATATAATAGTCATTGTTAACATACAAAGAACTTAATAGTCATTGTTGTTGAATTAGCCACAACAGCCAACAATGCTTGTCAAGTAAAGGTTTAGTGGCATCAAGATCACTGGTAGAACCAAGTAAATCTGTCTCATCCTATGATATAAGAAACTACATTCCTCAGCCATCATCATCATCTTTCAGTAGTCCATCATGCTTGCCAAGACAATATTCAGGAACCAGGTGTTTGGAGCAAAGTCCTAGTAATGGCGAGACAGTGACATCACAGCTACAGCATATCAGTGAGATGTTTCCATTTCTTGACCATGAAACAATTTCAAAAACATTATCAGATGCAAATATGAATGTTGAAGTTGCTATCGACAAATTACTTGGAGTGACAGGTATTTATACTATTGTACACCTTCACTCTTATGGACTGCATGTTATTTCATTGTACAGGGGACTCTCGGCGTCAGGTTGTAAAACAGATCTTAAACTATTTCCTGTCAGGAATTACGAATTTATTACTTTTTGTCAATATTACGACTATTCTATTTACAAAAGAACGATTAAACAAAAAAATAAATAAAGGAATGATTATAAATAGATAAGTAAGGTGATAATGACAAGAAGTCATCCAGAAACAATAAGGCTTGTTGTAATGGGATGTCTCCTTGAGCATAAAATTTAGATAAAATAAACTTATAAACATTCACATTTATGTAAGCACTGCTAATCCCAAGAGGGGAATCCAATCCCTATTCGCTTCCAAAAACCACCAGTGAACATGAAAATAAATTTATACTTCATGCAACTGGTATTCCAACATTCTATTCCTGAAGCAATTCAACGTCTAGGCATTTCTAAGTTTATCTGGGAGAGAACACCAGGGTTTAGTTAGGACCTTGATAAAGTATGGTGAACTGTTTTTGTTAGTTCTACAAACATGTGATCGATATAGACTAGCGTTTCTTGTATTGTATGATGAATTTGATTACTAGTAATAAATCTAACCAGCTTATAAGTTTATAAATTATCTCAGTGACACGTGCAGACTGGTCACTGGTGTTATTATTCTCAATTCACTTGCTAAAGTTGGATTACCTTTTTTGATACGTCCTGTACATAGTTCACATTAGAACTTTTACCATCCATCCCCTTTGTTTATCATCATCTCATATATTTTTATGTGCAATAGAAAATATTACTGCAGTTTCTTAAATGTTTATGTAAACTGCATGTGTAGTTATTAATACAGAATTTATCGTAAACAAGAATTTTTATTTGTTTTGTGTATCACAGAGCCAGAAGTTCACAATCATCCAGATACTCGTAATGAGCCAGAAGACATAGCAGATGATGATGAGCTATGGGATACCCCTTTATTTGAATCAGTGGTATTTGCAGGTAATCCTTCACAGTCTCTCAAAAGGTTTACTCGTGCTGCTGTTAACACGTTTGGAGAAGAGATGGATGTCGTTATAAACCGAAACAAGGACATGTTACAACAGGTTGTGAGAAAGTATAAAAACCCAGAATTTGATATCACAAAGCCCCTGAATGTGTCGTTTGTTAATGAGCCTGGTGTATATGCTGGGGGGTTGACAAGAGAATATTTTCACATTCTAATGGATCGGTTGCAGAAGCCACTCAGTTCTCTTGATTTGTTCGAAGGTCGAAAGGGCCATTTACTTCCAATGCACAACTATGATTTAGTTTCGGGTGGCCCTATTTGTTATGGTCGGAAAAGATGGTCTTACACTCAATTTTGAATAACTGCACTGGAGTACCAGGGTTATCTCCTGGAGTCATTTCCTACGTTGCAAGTGGTAATCGTGATGCAGCAGTAGAACACCTCACTTTAGAAGATGTTCCAGATCCAGTTTTGCAGGATAAATTGTGCCAGGTAATTTTGAACACGGACTTAGTATCACATGTTAGGTTTGTTTCAAAATCCATATCTCAGTGAGACAAAAATAGCGGCACACGCAAGCGGTGAAAAAAGCGCGAAACTGAGGGAGGTAAATGGTAGCCCGCGTGCAGGCCCAAGGGAACTGATAGTGGGCCTGCAAGCAAGGCCCGGTATTTTGTAAAATGCCCCTTTTCATAACATGCCCCATTCGCATGTCAATTGTCAAAAAAGAACCAATGACAGCACCCAAATATTAACAAACAAACTCGCATTAAAATGTTGCGGGGTTTTCTCTGCTTATTCAGAACATAAACAATGTGTAAAAGGCTGCTTTTTAACTCCAAAAAAGCAAGCAACGCAGTCAGTAACTGCCAAATTTGCAAGTGCTCATTTTCAACTAAAATCGGAACAGGCAAATTAGGACGAATTCCAACAGAAAATCAGTCTCAAACTTCAAATTGTGAGGGAAGTCGTGCAACCACATTAGCATTTATAATGTGTGCTTCGCTGTCGCCATTGTTATAAATAAATTGTCTTACTTGTCAGATCGTGTGTGCAATTCTTGTTGGCGGTGGAAAGTATGAAATATATTTCAGTTATTTCATTTGGTAAAGAACTCTACAAAAGAAGAGAGTGTTCAGAGTCCAGATCGTTTCGTTTCAAATGGTTATTTAATACCGTGTTTTGTTTCGCCCTCTCAGCCAAGCCTTGTAAATCGCAAAGTGTTTGAATAGGCTTACATGCAACTGCATCTCAACATCAACCAAAAGATAATTTTCTTGAGAAACATATAACGTATCAAGTCTGTTTGAAATTAATGAAACTCAAGTAAAGGTTATACTGTAGTTTACCCCAGTCGTAATGCTGCTATTCCAACACCTCACGACAAGCAATCCTCATTGGCATAATGGCAAAAACATTTCTTCCTTCAAGTAAACAATAAACAGTCTGTTCTTGTTCCATTTATAATCGAAAAAAGTGATCAATTTTCGAATTTTGAGCTTATTGAGAGCCTTTGTGATGAATCACTGACCTAATTATAGAATCCAACAGCAAACAGCCAATCAGAATGCTGCGTTTGTGGGTGAACTCTTCAGCTCAATCCAATTATAATAGACGTGTTTGCATTTATATTAACAAATACAATTACTGTATTCGATCAATATGGATTTCAATGCTACCTTGAACAATTGTGTTAAAAGTTTGCCTTTTATCGATCGTCTTAAAGACCAGAAAAGATTGGCGATCGTTTCTTTATTGCAGGGAAAAGATGTCGTCTGTATTCTGCCTGCAAGTTTTGGGAAAAGCTTGATTTTTCAGTTGTATATTTTGACTAAATTAAAGATCGAAGAGGCAGTACGATGTATTTTGATTATTTCTTAATCTTGGTCTTTCTGAAGACCAAGTTAAGGAACTCAGCAAATTTGGGTTGTCTGCCATTGCCTTGTCGCAAGTTTTGGATGAAGGGACAAAACATCAAACACCTGATCAAATATGATATGTATCACAGATATGTATAATCACGCCTTGAAAATTGAAATTCACACATTGGAATTAATTATTCATTATGTAATTGATACTGTATGTCAATCAAGCTATTCAGCCAATGGGAATTTTCCGTGTCTCACGACACGGGAAATTCAAATTCGTTAGACCTGTCCACAGTCCCTCCCTCATTTTCCCGCGCGTCTTTCACAGGAGGGACTGGGTTCAGTCTAGTACTATATGAAGATATTACATTTGAGAAAGCTTCATACAAGAAAGATGCCAGTGGCAGTAAGCATTCAACTGAGAAACGACAGATGACAGACTATAATCCTATACCTCACTTTGCTAGACAGACATCTCAGAGTAAAATAAACGAGTTTGCCAATGAACTGGAACAAGAAGGAAGGGCAGAATATTTACAGCTAGAGTTAACATCAAATGATTGTCAACCATTTCCATTTGAAGAGGTTCATAACAGCCTTCCTTCAAAGAAAATATCCACACAATTCAGGCAAAACACAGTTGAGATAAACAGTAGTAATGTTCGAAACCTAGTATTAGGGTGTTTGAGAAAATATGCAATAAACTTGTCCTATGTAGATGTTGAAAACATTGATTTTGTGAAAGATTTATGTACTACCAAGGGACACTTGTTAGAAATTGAAAGAAACACCAGAGGGCAATCTACATGTAGCAGGTGGTATGATGAAAGGACAAAACAAATTACTACATAAAATTTTGGTGCAATTTTAAACAGAAGGAAATCTATCTACCCCAAATCAATCCTGAATACCCTGTTCGATAACAAAGCAACAAAATCAAAATGCCTGGCACCATGTAAATGGAATGGGAAAGGATAATGAGGCAAAGGCAGTGAAACAGTATCTCACAGCAAAACAGAACTTGGGATGTGAATGTATGTTCATCATGTAGTTTAATTGTCAACCATAGTTTTCCATGGTTGGGTGCTAGTCCAGACTTTTTGATTCATGACATGCAGGAACAAGCATCACCTTTAGGCTTTGGTGATGTTAAATGCCCCTTTTCAAAGAAACCCTTACAAAAATAAACTATTGTTTTTGAGGTCAAAAACTATAGTTTTAAAAACTGTAGTATTTTGGAACAAAAACTATAGTTTATATAAAAAAAACTATAGTTTGAGTAAGTTACAGTTTATGTCAAAAACTATAGTTTGAGTAAACTACAGTTTTATAAACTATAGTAAATACTGCAGATTTTAAAACTATAGTTTTTTGGAGTTGAGGTATGTTTACACACTGCGAGTAAATAGGGCTGATTTCTGCTTTTAACAGAGTACAATCTGAAGTATAGATGCAAAATGAGTCCACATTGTATACCGCTACTCCAGATGAGAAATCGCAACGATTAATTGTAGTGTGTAAACCTGCCTGTGTCAGCATAGTTCTAAACATTCACTGTAAATTTTTGGGGAAAACCAAAAGATGTACCAATCATTAATAGTTTTATTCAAAATTTAGTTACTAGTAATAGTATTATTTATTACCAGTACTCTGCAAAGCATTATACTTCTATAGTTCTACTACTAATTAAAACTAATGAGGTCACTGATGTTCACAGTTAAAACTATAATCTATAAAATAAATTGGTTAATTTAGTTAAATAACAATTTATGGATATCAATGAAGTACGGATAAATTCTCTTGCCAATTTAAGACAACAGACATATAAGTTATGTTCTTCTATAAAGAATAAATTGTTTGCTCGCATGCTGAAGCCACCAGTAAAATAAGATTCATTCCTTGGTTGATTTTTGCTGCTCTTTGTGTTGTTTTCTGAAAGCCTGTTCCTTATTGTTCAATTTAAATTTAATGGCGTTCACTATAGGTCTGTGTACCTCACGCTCTTAGCATATTCTACACAAAACATAGAAAGTATAAATAAATACATGTACAAGCAGATTTAAAATTTGGTAAAATACCTAAAGCCATTTCAATGATTTGTTTCATAGTGAATAACTGTAAGTGAAAGCTTTTAAAAAGCTACTGTAATTACTAATTTAGCATTGCCATTAGTCAGAGAAATACTGTAATCATATTTATAGTGTTCTGGGAAAAAGCATACTGTACACTCACATATGTAGTGATGCACTATCACTTATACAAGCAAAAACTTACCAATCAGGGAAGCAG